CTCTGGAATCAGACATGCTAGTATTTACTCATTGAAGTCCCGTTAAAAAATTACTAATAAAATGTTTTCCTTTTATCTAGCGTGATAAGTTATCTCAACCAGCAACAAGAAGTCACATTTTAAGGCTGAAGTTTGTGTGTGTATTAATTCTGAAGTACCTGTATTTAAATTCTATTTTTTACATTTTGTGTTTTGCGACTAACACTTGTGTCCCGGCCTTCTGTTTACCTAACCCTGTTTTACAAATAACAGTTTCAAATTCCATTGCTAGACTGTACTCAATTTAAATATAATTCTGGGTTTGAGTAGAAGCATTAATTCATAGCCTTACAATAATAACAATTCTCCAGCTGGTGAAGTTCAGAAAGCAGGACAGAATATATAGATGTTGATACCATGGGTTATTTCTTTAATATTCAATATTGAAGGAACTGTTTATAGCCATGAGGTTAATATTCAAGCAATATTGTATTAAAATTTCACTGGTTATTTCGTTGCTTGTTAGAAATCAAAGAATAAATAGTATTTTGATCAAATATATATTGATGTTTTAGAAACTTTAATGTTTGAGAAACTAACAGAATTTTTCCTACTTTGAGTCTATGACAGAGGATTTTCAACCGGAGGGTTGATATTTTTTATTGTCTAACTCCAGGCTTGCTTCAAGCTTCAAGCATTTCACTCCTACGGTTGAGATGATACACTTATGTTAATAACTATATTACACTCAGTGTAATTAGTGACTCTTCCCCCCACCACCCCTGGTGCTATCAGTGATATGTTCTAAAACAATAGATATAGATATTTGTAAAGTGTTCTATTTCCTGATTTGCACCTACCGTATTCTGGCTGAAAAATTGTATCCTTGTATCCTAGTGTCGACAGATAGATCATAGCCTAGAGGTGACAGAGAAATCACACTAAGGGTTAACAGAGAAATCATTCTCTAGGGGGTGACAGAGAAATCATTCTCTAGGGGCCGGGGTGACAGAGAAATCATACACTTTGGGGATGACAGAGAAATCGTTCCCTAGGGGTGACAGATAAATCAATCTTTAGGGGGTGACAGAGAAATCATACCCTAGGGGTGACAGAGAAATCATACCCTAGAGGGTGACAGAGAAATCATACCCTAGAGGGTGACAGAGAAATCATACTGTAGGGTGTGACAGAGAAATCTTACCCTAGAGGGTGACAGAGAAATCTTACCCTAGAGGGTGACAGAGAAATCTTACCGTAGGGTGTGACAGAGAAATCTTACCCTTCGAGGTGACGGTGAAATGATACTTTGGGAGCGACAGAGAAATCTTTCTCTTGGAGGTAGCCGTAAATCCTCTGGTTGACAGAAATCTTGAACAGGTAAAACATGACAATTATAATGAACATTGGGAGGAAACGTTATTGATTGCCAGTAACATGTGATAACGGTGTTGGTCCAATATCACTACTGAAAACAGCGGGTTGAACTTGGACTTCACAATTTGTCAGTTATGAAAAGTGTGTTCATTTTCAGGTCACAAATGTCACATAATCCAATAGACACTGATTCTTGTTGATGTGTGTATTGCTATGTTTACAGTAGAACCTCTTGTAAAGAAAGGACAATTCTCTTCATTTTTTTGTAGGATAAATTTTCCAACAAGAATTTAAATAAAATCTACAAAACCAGGAGATGAAACGTTTCAGCCATTTGCCTGATTTTAGCCTTTTTCAAAATTTTTGTGTCGTGTCCATAAGTCCATTTTCATTTCTGCATCACTGTTTTAAATGACACTGGTTAAGATGTTATAAAAATGTAATATACAGGTTTTCAGATTATAAAGGTTTCAGTTAACACAGAAGAGACTGTCTACATGTATTGCTCAATAGCAAATCTGTTCTCTCATGCATTTTACCTTTTAAATGTAGCATTATTGTACAACTGAACAATTTATATAATTACTATTATCATCAGTTTATAAAAAATGTGTATTTAAAAAATTTAAACTGCAATCTTTTTTTTTCATGTTCGAGTAAAACACATTAAAAAGTCATGACTATTAAATGAAACTGATGCGTCAACTTCATAAAAGCAATTGACAAAACAGAATATGAAAAACACAGTTTTTTGGTCATAGAAAACCACCTTATTGTATAGTTCTGTTTAGAGTGGCTGGCGTATAGTCATTTAATATCAAATTAAAATTGTAAAAATAGCGCTGGGTTTTTGTTTGAGCTGCAGTGTGAAGTGGTCCGGTGGGAGATGTCACCGCGGATCAATGCTTATTATTGGTCCTTTGTTACAGCCCCTTGTGTGAGGACAGAATTAAGATATATGAAGTTTACTTAGATTTAAGTAAATTGGATTTTAATTTGTGAAAAATATGTTTACACAATAGCAGAGGTGTGAACTGGACAATGGTGGCCACACAAAACGCGAGCTGTTGAAGGTGTCAAACATTTGTCTTGTTTTTTAAGCACAGCGGATTCACAAAATCCAATTTTTAGATGTTATTTTCCCCCCGTGTTAAGTATGATGTTTCATTCATGAGGGGTTTTGATTCAAACTGTTATCTGACAAAATGTGACTCACAAACTTCGGATTTATGAATTACCGAGGAAAGGATCTCATTTCTACACTTTGTACATGCAGTTTTAATTTCCTGCCACATATATTGAACTTCTATGACCGATTAAACCATGAATAATTACTAAGCGGAGTTTGATCACATTCAAGTGATGTTGTGCAATCGTACCACAGAGGAATTATGCAAAAAGTTTCAAACAATTTGAATGAATTGGAAAAGTGAATTGTGAAAAATCTAATGTACTATAGCGCTTCTTCCCCGAACCGTCTGGAATTTTTACCATTACGGGAATACATAGGTAGGTTGGTCTTCTCGAAATTTGTTTGTATTTACTGTGACGCCATCAGCTGAGTGTACGAACCAGTACAATCTGTTTCACTAGAATGTTTCACTAGAATAGAAGATTTTTCTCGTAAGCAAATGAAATCGACATTAACAGTGATTCTTTAAGTTTCTGAGAATGGTTGGTAATTTTTTAATTCCAATTAAAGAAATCATTTTAGAATTGATACATTTTAGACAATTTCATACATACAAATAATTCCTCATCTTACTTATATATTTAAAACACAATTTAAAAAGTACACATTATTTTTACCTGTATAGTGAATTTAACTTGACCACAACCAAGATGTTATAACTTATATATATACTGAAGATGTTGTTGTTTGTTTTGTAATATTTAGTGATTTTATTCATCGGAGAATATTCAGCATCCTTGTAAAATTAATTTATAAATTAAGTATTTGGGTTTTGTCTGCGTAATTATAATTTATTAAGAATATTTCAAGGAGTCAACCGAGTCTTGTATACAATAACCAGATGAATATGACTGTATATATATTTCTTCCTCGTAGTTTGATTGTTAAAACCTTTGCTGAAGTCTTGAAGATTATTAAATTATCGAAATACAGTTGTGTGCATTTTGAAAAATTATTAAGAAGGTAGGGTACTTATAATTAGGTACTTATATTTTCTAACTTAAAATTCACCGCAAGTAATAATTACATTCACGGATGTCCTTAAGATCTTTGTTTAATGAAACTGAAGTGTGAAAGATTTTGAAATTATAAATGTTTTTAAATTTTCTTAGTTAAATGATCACACTGGGAGTTTTTAAGTCAGGAAACAGTGTACTTAGGATTTCTATCATTTCCTGCATCATCTGTAGCTTACTTGGTACAAATGTATCGACAAAGGGTTTTGAAGGACTTCATTTCTGTGTCGGGCGGCATGGGTTTAATTAGCCTAAGGTTGTCACACCAATTTTCTCCTACCGTATACAGGCCCAGAACAGTTATTTTCCTGTTAACTATTTCTCCCCTGAAGACTCATTTGAACTCTTCCAATTAAAAATTTTGAATAGTCCATTATGTAATTTCAGGTGTGAATGAGTTAAATAGCGTTATTTCCTCTATAATAGTTCATATAATGACAATTATAGGTTGCCGGTCTTTTTTAGAAGAAAGGTATTAGCATAATAAAAATTAAACTGATAACCCAGTGGATAAGGTCCTTGCTTTAATCAAGAGGTTCAGGGGATGGAACCCAATTTCATTTATAAAAAAGAAAAATTGATGAATATATTTCTTATGTATATAAGCTTTTGTTTTAGTTATAGGGCAAGTAAATTCTAGTCAGAACAAATTCATTTTAATTTTCAAATTCCTTATGTCTTAAATATACTTAGCCGTATCACCCTATGCAACTTTGATAAACTCTACCATGAATTGAACGGGGTGAGTCCATTATGGTTTACAGTTTTGAAAGGGTTAAGAGAGGAAACCAAAAATGTCAAGTTTATACTGAACCCTATTGGACGTGTGAAATTAATTTTCTTAATTTAAAATTTGTTTTTAATCTATTAAATGTTCATGTGAGATTTCCTAGCAAAGGCACAGATTTTTGTTTTCTCAATACCTACACAAAAAAAGATTAGTACAGAATATATAGTACTATTTTTTTTCTGTGAAGAAAATATAAGTTTGAGTCTGTAAACTCAAATCATCGTCTGTCTGTACGCATTGCAATTTTTTCTTACTGAATGCATGTTTGGTATGAATTACTTTTCCTTTAATTATAATTTTGTCATTATGGAAAGCAGTTTGTAATTGTGAATTCAATACCTTATCAGCAAGTTTATAATATTAAACCAATTTTCATTTTAGTTCAGCAATAAACCCTCGCCTGGTAATAGCCCATCAATATCAAATGCAGTTTAGAAGAATTCCAATCATGTTATTTCATGTTATAATGTTATTTCATTGACCTGTAATAAGCCCACCCCCTTCTTTGAGTTAGTTTATATGTGTTGGCCCCTGGTGTTTTGCAAGATACATATGGTAATAATTTGTTCATTTCTATTTCTTATTTCTTCATATTCGGACTAATTTTTGAAATTTAACAGTTATGTTGTTATTTTTGTTATTACAGAAAGCAAGTTTGGAATTGTGAACTCTGCAAACACGATGAACCAGCATATGTATGGCCCGCCACACCACCGGCCACCAGGGGTGCCTCCAGGGATGCCACCAGGGATGTCGCCAGGGATGCCGCCTAAAATGTCCTCGGGGTATAACGAGCCGCCATCCTTGAACCATCTCCTCCCAGTCTCGCACGTACCACCCCCCATCCCTCCGTCCACTGTCACCTGTGCCACGCCCGTGCCCCTGCCTACCTCATCGCAGATGAACAACCCACAAGTCCTCTCCCCTCCTAACATGAGGTTAGTATATATGCTTAACAGTTCCGCTGGAACGGCATCCCGGAGCTTCAACTTGTTCCAGGTCCCTGGTGCTCTTGTTCAGAAGCTTGGTGAAGGTATACGATTTTAAAGACAACACTAAAATTGTTCTGTTTTTTTTTTTTTTTTTAATTTAAAAAACCGTAACATTAAAACTGTTTAAATGTTGAAGGTGATGGATTTCAAAGGCAACAGTAAAAAAGAAATATTCAATATATCTAGAGTTAAATTTATTTATTGTTGAAGGTAATGGATTTTAAAGACAACAGTAAAATTGAAATATTAAAAAAATCTAACGTTAATTTTTTAAGCAAAGACAACAGTAAAATTAAAATATTCAATAAATCTAGCATCAAAATTTATTTAGAGTCATTTTAGTGTCTACCTCACCTTGCCATGATAATCTTAAGAAAAGTGGTGCTGCAAAATTAGCCTTGCAATATATAGTATGACAACTTTACAGTCAAATTTTTAGGTTTTTTGTATGATTTGACTATTCTAGTCCATTCTTGAGGTTTACTGTATAGTCAGAGAAATCGCAGAAATTTTGACTCGCAAAATCTAGAAATATGACTGCATATGTCCATATTCTTAATGACTAAGATGTTACATACCAGTTTAAAAATGGGTTCTCGCAGATCTTCAGCAAAGATTTCGGGAAAAGCGTTCAATCTTAGCTTTTCACAAAATTTCAGTCATGTCAGTTTTAGTTAATTTCAGTGTTATAAAAGATTTAGTTGTTATCATTTTCTTGATTCAGGTTCCTCAAACTGCCCTACTTATATCATTTCCTGCTTTTTAACTTCCTATTTATGGAAACACATATGCTTGACCATCCTACCTATTTTTCAATAAGACTGTAACCTATTGGAGACTAAATCAGCATGCATAGGCTTTTAACATTTAACATTTAATATATAGTAGGGATTTATTTATTTAAGAAGTTCAAAAAATAATTATCACATGTATACAAGATCTTAATTGAGTTTCTGTTATTTACTTAATTTGTCTAGAAATTTTTCAATTTTTCCTAGTCCTTCAGCAAGCTTTAAATCTAAAATGACAACTTCTAGGGGCTTGATCAATGCTTTTTCCGCATTACGAAAAATTCATGTAAATATGATGCGGATATATTTCATTTCAAGACCTCAGAAAGCCTGTGTCAAAATGACTTCGACAGCTATAACCAAGATTGAAAATTTGATATCATCATCAACTGTAATAGATTTCCACCTGCTTTCTTGACAACCTGTGCTTACCAGCTGTCAAAATATATCATCTCCCTTATGGATCTCTTTTATAATATACATATAACAGCCTTTTACATATTATCATCAGATTCATGTACCAAATTAAATTGCGAGTGAAATCTTCAAGGAGGAAAAATCGTAAGATTACTTTTCTGTGCAGCTGGGAGCAATTCCTTGTATGAAATAAGGAAGCTAGGAAAATCAAGTTTAACAAGTCACAAGTGAAAAATGAATTATTTATGAAAATTCACCAATTTTTTATATCAATAGCTTGAGGTGCCATTTTACGGCTGAATTTCTGTTCAAACACATAGGCGATTGATTCTTTTTGTTTGTAATGGAAAATTAACATATCCGGGATGACAGAAATTTGATACATTAAAAAAGAGACATTTAGATCCGAATCTGAATGGAAAGCTTTCTCTCAACAAAGTACACCCTGTTTGTAGCTTCAGGGTTTTCACCTGTGAAGTTGATTAATTCTCATATGGATGTCACTTCCTTATCACTCAGAATGTATAATGGACTCGGGCAAACTTTGTTTTTAAGAAAAATATACGTTTAAAAAAAATCACATTTCATTAAATGTTGTTTCATGTAGATACTTGAAAGTATATATGTATATATATATATAAGTTTTTATTAACCGATTTCTTGAAGCAAAATATATTTTTAAGATACTAAGTAATTATCATTAAAACATTTAGATATCACATGAGAAGTAATTATGGTGATTTAAATTTATTTGAACGTGTTACATTATAAACGATATCCACAGATTTTCCCCAATAATATTAAATGATTTATTGATAAATTATATTCTTTTTAGTTTAAGAGCCACTTTGAATAACCATATTCCTTTAAACGAACATAATTATCTTCAGTAGGACAATTAATATTAGTGATACTCAGTATTAAATGTATTTAGTGATACTTTGCTTTAACAATGGCTCCAATATGAATTTGACAATGACATTGTTTATCAAATGTTTTGTAAAATACAGCAAAGGGAGATAATCTAGCAGATTCCTATTCACTTCATTATAGCTATGGTCTGATGGTGATACTAATGTAGTTTTTCCTTAAGGAATTACATTGTTTTTTTCCAAAAGCACAGCATATTTTCCCCTCAACCAAATCTGAAATCAGAAACTGTCATGAGTGTGGAAGAAAAGAACTAATATTTCTAATTCATATTGCACAGAATGATTTTTAAATTGTGTGAAAATTCAATAACTTAAAAAAAAATTGCTGTGAACTTTTCTCAAATGAAAAGATATGGAAAAATCACAGATAATGTGGAATTGAAAATTAATCACAAGAAAATCTTTTTCTTTTATTTCAATTTTTTTGTGTTTTTTTGTTTTTGTCTCATTAAATTTGTTAAGGTTGACATTTATAACAATAGTGACCCCCGGTCAAGAGTGACCTTCTGTCTTTATTGACCTAGTCAGTATACACAGGTTTCAATCTATTTTGGTGAATGTTTCAGCCCAAATATGCATGGAAATGCGTCTGCTAAGAAGAGGAAGTACCCAGAAAACACCGGTGCAAGTCTGACAAGTGCACTGTTCAATACTAACAGAAACAACGGATCAATGAGCATAAAACAGGAACCAAATGGTGAGACACACACTTAATCTCAGAAATTTACAAGTGACCTTAAGGGTGTATGCTACTGTGTGACATGATCATCTTTCCGAATAGTTCCTTGCTAAAAAATACTGTGAAATTATGATTTGTTACGTTCACTTGGTTAATAAATCAATAAGATATTTGAAAGTTGCATTTGAATGAATGCATTAATAAATGCAAGCATGTTGAGGGAGATAACTCTTAATACTAATCATATGTATAATGTGTAAGGTGGCATGTAACCTTAACTCCAATACAAATTACAAATAAAATGTATAAGGGGAGATAACTGTAATACAAATTAGAGATTTTATATTTAAGGTGATATAATTCTAACCTTAACTCTTAACACAAATTAAATTACAGATATTATGTATAAGGGGAAATAACCATATTACAATTCACAGATATGATATTTAAGATTATATATTACCTTAACTCTAGCGCAAATTATAGAAATAACTGTAAATATTGTACATTTTATCATACATTGTATCTTGACCATATGTAAGATGAGCTTCATGCTCAATATGTTATCAAGAATAAAAAAAGCCTTTAATATTATAATTATTATTATAAATAATGTGCTACAACTCTAAAGCAGATAACAGGTTTACTGTGTAAGGGAACATATAACCTTAACTCTAACACACATTTTTATGTAAAACGTGCTACAACTGAAGTCTTAACACAAATTACAGGTATAATGTGTTAGATAACATGTAACTTTAACTCTAACATAAATTACAGATATAATGTTCTATGCACAACTCCAACAGAAACCACATGAATGATGTGTAAGGTAACACAAATTACAGCAATAATTTAAAAGGGAGACAACTTTGATGCAAATGACACTTATAATGTGTTACAACGCAAACACAAAGTTACAGGTATGGTATGTAATGCAGCATGTATCATTAAGTGTGTTAGACTGTACAAAAATCACTAGCATGTATCAGGGGTTAGTACCGCGGATAATAATTTTAAATATATATGTAGGTTTTTTTTCATGTTTTTAAAATGCATCACATGCATTGCTGGCTGTTTTGACAATTTGTTGACTTATTTAGCCGTTCCCGCCTCAGCGTTCCCGCCCTACATGGTAGACTATGAGGATGACCAGTATAGTAACTGTTACGACCCTGAATCCAGTAACGGTTACCTTGAGAGTCAGTATCAGGTCATTAAATGGCAGCCCTTCCAGGTACAGAAGTGGAACGTCCTCACAGACGCCAACCTCAAAGACCTGTACGTACCAAAGTGTGTCCAGCATTAGGCTGAACTTTTTTAAATTTTTCAAAAGGTGTAGCTCATATGCGAATAAATTATTACCATATTTATCCGGCAATAAGCACATGCTTGGTAATAAGCCCTCTAATATAGTGCTGCATGTTTGGAAGAAATACCAACAAGAGCTTTTTCATTGTCCTGTAATAAGCCCATCCACCTACTTTTAGTCAGAGATTACGGTATGTGTTGGCCCGGGGCTTGTTGCAGGAAAAAATACGGTAGTTGATATTGCAAGAGAATCTAACAAAGTTAAAATCAAATGCTGAAGGTTCCAGATGGAAATCCATTGTTAAAGTCAATTGTGTCACTACGAAATAAAAGTTCAAGTGAGATTCACATGTAAAGTTGGTGCAAAATACAAAACGTAAAATCTTTCATTTAACCTGTTCTTTTGTCTCTCCCACAGGCCTCCCCCGCAGTACAGAGTCGACTCGGACAAAGGTTTTAATTTTTCGGTGTCGGACGACTCCTTTGTTTGTCAGAAAAAAAATCACTTCCAGGTAACAGTTCATATTGGAATAGGCGCTGAACCCCGATATGTTCGGACGACGGATGGGGTCAAGAAAATTGATTGTTTCTGTATCCATTTCCATGGAGTGAAGGTAGGTTCTGCTTCATTCAGCACCATATCATACTGTCACCCTGGTACAAAATAGTAGCTGCTTCCTACAGCCTTGGATAGGGAGAATTTCTATTTAGCTCTTTGGTAGAGCCTAAGACTAATAAACCAGTTTGAAAAAATAATGACCTCTGTTACATTTGTACCAATGTAGGGACCCGGGAGATATAAAAAAAAATATCAGCGATACTTGCAAAGGAATCCCTATGACCCCAGGAAAACTTGGGACGAGTTCTTTCCTGGAGGGAGTGTATGTCACCCTGGTAAAAAATATTAGCCGCTTCCTTACTGACTCGGCTAGGGAGAATTTCTCTTTAGCTCATTCAATTATGACCTCTCTGTAACACGTGTCTTTGTCCTGTCCTGTCCTGTCGCATCGCGTCATCATCATCCTGATTTACTGTTATTGTTCCTAGAGACCATACTTAATGATTGGATGTTTAATAATAATGTGCTGTCTTTTACTATGATAACAGTAAAAATTCAAATTTCAACCCATTCATCCGTGAAATTTTATATTGAATTATTCCAAACTTTGAGTTGGAGGAGTTCAAATGCGTCTTCAGGGATGAATGAGTTAATTACTGCCAGTGATACCGGGACACGTTAGTTATATTACCTTGTTTTCTTAATATTCATGAAGAATTAAATCAGTAGCTGCTGTGTTCTTGACTATGTTTTTAGTTGCCTTTCTCATATTTGCAGCAAACTGTATGTAATCACTGTGTTTTATATTATGTAAAAGTTGAACTTATTTACATCAAAAATGAAAAGGCACAAACCTGTAGCAGACAAGTTAGGTATATTTGCCTCAGTTAACAGGATAGCATGGAAACATCTGTTTGACATGACATTTCAGAAGAAATATACCTTTGTATACTATTTTGGGGGATTTTGAATTAAAATATTTACCAGACCAGCCAGTCATTATCTGTTTGTTGATTTTCAGCTCGAGTCCCAAAGCCAGTTGATAAAAATAGAACAGTCGCAATCTGATCGCACCAAGAAGATGTTCCACCCGGTCAAGGTTGACCTGCTTCCGGACCAGACTAACAAAGTCACTGTTGGTCGGCTTCATTTCAGCGAAACAACGTCTAACAACATGAGGAAGAAAGGCCGGCCGAATCCTGACCAGCGTTACTTCCAACTCTCGGTGACCCTCTGCGCTCACAGTGGAGAAAACAGCTATATGGTAGCTGCAAATGCATCGGAGCGTCTTATTGTCAGAGTAAGTGACTGATTGGGACGAGTAATATTTTATGATCAGTTCTCTGTTTTAGTGATAATGCTTTATGTTTGTTTTGTTGTTTAAAGTCCATATACTTTGTTTTTAAGTTGATAAAAAAAAGAAATGTATATTTTATATAGCTGTGATGTGTCCTAAGTCTTTCACGTTCCGTCATTTCCCCATTGAATTCCATGTTAATCCAATTTTGCGAAATAATTTTCCTGGCTTTGTTTTTAGTCAAAAATTGGTTTTATTCTGCTCAAAGGGAGAAAATTATCTACCACTTTTCTTGGTTATATTAACTCATTCACCCCTGAAATTCCATAATGAGCTATTCCAACCTTTGAATTGGAAGAGTTCAAATGTGTCTTCAGGGGTGAATGAGTTCATATGATTTCCCTTGCAAATTTAAGATTTCTGACAATGATGGGTTATTTAGCAAAACCGATTTTTATGGCAAAATTTAACATTGTGTCTATGGGAATGATGTAAAAGCTAGTACAACTTTTATGCTGGGATGAAAAATGATTTTCATTTCAGTAATAATTACCATAACTTTAGTATGCATATACAATACCTACACCCATCTTTGTAGCCCAAAAACAAAAGATTCAAATATCCCTACCTCCCTACCGTGACGTAACCTCTATCTCGATGACAGAGCCACGGAGTGATCTCCCTTCCTCTTCCTTTTATGGCGCCTGCTGCATGCTGACGCACGGAGCTTGCTCCAATTCAAAACATTGTTTTGTCGGTTTGGTTTGAGTGTCAACTCATATTTTTGCGCAGTTTGTGTGCCTT